GAGATGGAACTAATAGTAGCTTCTTTCTCTTGAGATTGGAGAATATGAAACTATTTCATGTATGAAAAGCACTTAGAATCATACTAAATACCAGGTAGCCCAAAGCAGATCCACTGGCATAGTGCTGCCTCAGACCTGTAGTGACGCTTGGACAGAGTTGACCTGTCCAAGGCTTTCCAAGCTTGGGACTGTTAGTGGATACACACTGCTTCACCTTTCTCCTGTGAGAGCCTAGTGTGACATCAGACCAAGTCTCTGTCCCGTTGCATTTGACTTTTTAAAAAGGATAGCATAACAGTGTATGTGTTGCTCACTTAAGCTTCATTTTGTTAACAATACAGTGTTAATTCTAAGGTGTGCTGTTACAAGTTTCATACTTCTTCATCTTCTACAAATGGAGATTAGAAACTGGCTGCTTGTTTTTTTTTTATGATAGTCCTTTCATCTGTCAGCCTCATAATAAGAAAGCAGTAATTTTATGTCTTAAGTTTACTCGTAGTGAGCTCTGCATCTTGCAGCTATGATCAGTTACGTTCAAGGACCAGACATGTCTGGTACTACTTTCCCCCAATTCCCTCTCAGTTTGTGTGCTCTTTGCTTGAGATCTCTGGCCCCACTTTTAAAAAATTATAACTGTATTTGCTGCTTTCAGTTCATATAACTCCTTTTACTTTTCTGAAGCCTTCAATCTTTGGTCAAAATTAATTTTAGGTTAGAAAACAAACTTTTTTAAAGTAGCTCTGCTCTCTTGGAAGAAACCCTGGTGGCCCAGTAGAGATTAAGTGCCCAGCTGCTAACCAGAACACCGATGATTAAAGCCCCAGCTTTTCCCTGTGAGGGAGATGCTGTGGTCATCCTGTATAAAGATGCAGCCTACACATCCCAGGGGGCTGGCCTGCTCTGGCCTCCAAGGCCACCGTGAATGCGACTACACTGGTTTGGCTTTGGACTTTGTCTTATATTTTTTTACTGATTGGATTTTTGAAATTAATTTGATTTATTGATGTTAGTACCTGTCCACATGACCTTAGTGATTGTTTTATTCCATTTCATTTCAGCTTGTTGGTGGGGAGTTTGACTTGGAGATGAACTTTATTATCCAGGATGCTGAGAGTATAACGTGTATGACAGAACTTTTGGAACACTGTGATGTAACGTGTCAAGCAGAAATATGGAGCATGTTTACAGCCATTCTACGGAAGAGTGTTCGGAACTTACAGACGAGCACAGAAGTTGGCTTGATTGAACAAGTGCTGCTGAAGATGAGTGCTGTGGATGACATGATAGCAGGTATGGGCTGTGGGGGGGAGTGTTGCTTAGATGTTCAGCAAGACTCTCTGGTTTCCTTTGTGATTAGCAGGTAATAACACATTTGTTGAAATGATCTTAATTTAAAATAGAAAACTAGAAATATCTGGTCAGCTTTGTGTTTTATATGAATGGACATGAGGAATGAAGGACTTCTGCCAGCTTGGGTTAATACCATTACTGATTTTGTTTTGCTCGGTTTTAGAAAACTCTCAGTTCTCTGGAGTAAGAGCTGTGGCTTTAACTACAAAGGTAACTGTATGGTGCATCTCATTAAACTTGCTCTAATTAAATGCTCCTGGCGCACACTGCGGTTCTGGAGAGTAGTGCAGCCAGTGTAAACTATCCCACCTGAGTAAGGAATACTTGACCAGATTCTGCTGCCCCTGTCCTGGGTGATGGGGATGTTGACAGCAGGTGCTGCATCAAGGGACACAGTAGTATTTTGAAGGCCTATTTTTGCATTAAGACCAGACACACCATGAAATGTTGCTGTCGTTGTGTACTGTAGAGTTGCCACTGACCCATAGCTGACCCTCTTGCGGATTTTCAGAGGCAGTTAATTGCACGAGAGGAGATTGCGCATCCTTCTCCCACGGAGCAGCTGGTGGATTTGAACCATGTACTTCTGCATTGGCAGCACAGTTCCCTGCCACTAAGCCAGTAGAGTGCCTACTAGGAAATAGAGCATATGACTTTGATGAAATTTCAGGAAGAAAATCTCAATTTTCATCTTTCCTTGGATCATATCAAGTAGTAACTTGGAAATAATCATTTCTCCACAAGTCCCTCTCCTCCCTGGAGATCAGTCCCTGGGCTGATGTGCTGCACTGGTGCAGAGACCCTGAGATGGCACAGAGGCCCTGAGACAGCGTGAGGGCTCTGAGACAGTGTGGTCCAGCACAGCAGCTAGTTCTGGTCTCACATGTTAGCTCTCCTGAGAGTATGTTGGTTCTTCATCATAAGCATGTCCTGATAGAAAACGTTTTGAATAACGCTACGAGTTAGTGGCTCCCTAACAGTTGGTGCTGCTTAAAAGTACTTCTGATTCTGGACAGTCCTCCAGCATTTCCAACTCATGAAGTGAATTTGTGGAAAAACCCATTGAATAATAGAATGAAGATGAATTAAGTGTTTATTTCAATGGAAATAATATTAAGATATTATTTCCTTACAGAGTTTATTAAAACCATTTCTGATGCCTTTAAGAAGACATTGATTTCTGTTTAGAAAGAGCTAGTCTTCTACACACTGTACGCTTAAGGGTTGACTGAGAGCACTGGTAGCTTCGTGGGCAGGGAGCTGCATTGCTAAACCAAAGGTTGTTGGTTCAAACCCACCACCTGCTCTGCAGGAGAAACATGGACCGTGTTCCTTCCATACAATTTACAGCCTCTGAAAACCTGCAGGAGGGTCAGCTATGAGTCAGTTACAGTTCCATGGCACATAACGACAGCAGCTGTAATGACTTAACAGGATAAAATAATTTAAACTTAGGTTTCTTTAAGTTCCTTTTAAATGAAAGCAGTTTCCTATCTATAAATTTTAGTATTTGTTTAAAAGAAGTTTCTATCTTACACACTTTTATGTGCACATGTTATAAGTCGAGCATCACGTAGTAGTTAAATCTTTGTGTGTGGCTTTGAGCCATTAATAATTATTATTAAGTAAAGAGCAGCTTCCTAGAATGCTGTTCCTAAAGTGAACCCTGCTGACCTGCCCCGTTGCTTACTGGCTCCCAAACCATACATGATCAGAGGCCCCTGGCGTTCATGAAACTCATGAATCCTCTGATCTTTTTTCTCAGTAATAATATTAGCTTTCGTTTATTATTTTAAGCATTTCCTTGTAAGGTACCTGATGATAAAATGATAGGAGCAAAGAGAATGACTACCAGGTAACAGATGTTTGTCTCCCCTTTCAGTACTGAAACATGCTGTTGAGGTGATTCCAGGTAGTAGCAAGTCTGAAGTAGGGGCCCTGTGGAATCGCTCCACAAGCTTCCAAGCCTTGTCTGCTTTTCTCTCAAGGGTTAGAACTATTGACCTTTTGGTTAGTAGCCAACCTTTAAACCCTGTGCCACCAGTGACTCTTAAGAGGCCCTTTTGTCATTTAGCAGCCTTTTTTGGAGCCAACTAATAGCTGGACCTCCAGTGCGTTTTCAGAGGCTGCAAATTACACGGGAGATGCCCACCCATCTTTCTCTTGAGCAGCTGGTGGAATGCTTCTGGATGTAGCATAGTAGTTGTAGTTTACTGTTGAGTATCCTCCAGATGTCTGTGATTCCTGATGACTCTGTGTGACAGTGTATAACTGTCTGTGGACTTTCCTAGACTGTCCCCTTGCACAGCAGGTCAGCTGGTCTTTTCTTGTTTAGAGGATTGATGGGTTTGATCTGCTGACCTTTTCTTTAGCATCTGTGGGCTGAGACTTGGCACCACCAGGCTCCTTTGTTAGTTTTTTTAAGAAATATTTTCTACTTAATAATGTGAAGAGTATTGCTGGAAGTGGGTTAAAGGCATATGGGAAAATGATCTTAAGAATGCTAGTTATTTTGACATTCTGTATTTTTTTCCTAAATGATATTGTTTTACTATAACAGAAAAGCTGCTCTGAGAACATGAAATTGTCCGAAGTCCATTGGCGCTGAGTCGATGCTGACTGTCAGTGACCTTGTAGGACAGGGAACAGCTGGCTGGTTTACACCGCCAGCCTCTCAGCCGCTGAGCGCCATACCACAGTGCCATCTGCGTGTACTTGATGGTATTATATGGACATTTTCTGTAATTCAATACTGGTGTCACTTTTTTGTAGTATACATATGGCATGGGTAAGAGTTTTAAAACAGAAATGCAAGGAAAAATTGTTGCTCAGCCTTGAAGGAGTCATTTGATGAATTCAGGTCGTCAGTGCAACTGTTTTCTTCAGAATACTTCGCATATACTCTGGGTTTTTTAAAGAACCTGATTCCCCCCCGAGTTCTTTCCTAAAAGCCAACCTCTGATTCCTACTTAGCAATTATGAAAATTTATGTTCCTTGAATACAGAAGCATTTTATAAAAATGTACTTTAAAAATATAGCCAAAATTTTATCATGGAAATTTCTTACTTATTTGTGTACGTTGTGTAACCAAAAGAATTAATCAATCATGTGTTGATGAAAAGAACCATATTAAATTTAATATTTTGGAATACATACATTTTAAATCTTTAAAAAGTTTCAAATTTTAGTTAATTTGTGATATTAGGTAATATACTTAAATAAAAAACTAATAATTTCAACTTATCATAAAGTTTTATTAATTGATAAACTGTTTAGAGTATAGATGTATATTGTTTTTTTTTCCAGTTTGTGTAGCATCTTTAATCCTTAGAAAATAATTTAGAATCTGAGAATATGAAGAATAGCTGTGGAGATGTTTTAGGTTCTTGAAAAAAGTGACTGACCGAGGTACCATTCACAATGTCTAGAGATCAAAGTTGTCAGGGACAAGAAAATAGAAGTTGTAAGTTTTAGCTGAACTGGTGTGTCTCTTATGGATATATATGTAAATTTTATCCTTAAACAACAACATATATATGTACGCGTGTACACACACACACACACACACACACACACATACTCCTCCACATCTCTAGATATATGTCGACATGTGTATGTTGTGAGTGTGTGATAGCACTATTTGTGCATTTGAAATTACAGTCCACTTACCGATTGGCAGGAGAGAATGAGACTGTGCTATGTGCCCCAGTGTGACTTCAGACTGTAACACTTAATAATCTGTCTTCTGTTTTCTTGGGCAATAGGACTAAGATATCTATCGGTGCCTCAGATTATTAAGTTTACAGGTGGAGAGTAATGGTGCTTACTTCACAGATTTATTATGAGGGTTAGGGAAGTAATACATAGAGACCTCTTGGAACAGTGCCAAGCATTGTTGAGGAAATCCTCATCGTTGTTGCACATTTTGAGGAAATCCTCAAAAACAGTTATTTCTAGGCCTTGTTGGCAAGGATTTTGAGGCTCTGTCTCACATACTTTGGGCATGTTGCTAGGAGGGACCAGCCCTTAGAGAAGGACATCATGCTTGGAAGGATGGAGGGAAAACAGAGGAGAGGAAGATCCCTGATGAGATGGAATGACACAGTAATTGGGCTAATGAGGGGCAGGTGTGTCAGAGACAGTGCAATTGGCTCCGGATAGAACGGGGTTTAGAGATTTAATGCGTAGGATTGCTGTGAGTCATGGTCACTTCAACAGCACACCACAACAGACAAGGGATAGTTCAGTAATATATATTATTAAGAAAAGTTAATTGTGAAAGAAAATATGATCAGCACTCACTTTTTATTATGAAAAGAAATAACTTACATGTTAAATCTTTGAAACTTTAAATCGTTTTTCCTCCTCTGCTAGAGCAGATAGATGTCTGAGAATAGAGAAAATGTATTTCATGAACAGACTAAGAAAGATTCACTGAGATTCATCTGATGGGGAAAATAATATAATGCAAAATACAGTAGTTTTTATTATCTAATGAATTAGTGATTGCTATATTTTATTTGCATATTTACTCATAAGGACATTATTTAACTGTTTTAGATATATATCTGTATATAGAAATGACATTCAACAATATTTGCTTTCAAAAAGTATGTTGCCTTGACAGATGACAGCTTATAACTAGAGTTCAGAATAACTTTATTTTCCTTTGAAGATCTTCTAGTTGATATGTTGGGGGTTCTTGCCAGCTACAGCATCACGGTCAAGGAATTGAAGCTTTTATTCAGCATGCTGCGAGGAGAAAGTGGAATCTGGGTAAGCTGTGGGCCGAGGGAGTTCCTGTCCATAATTCTACATTAATACTTACAACTCAGCAACTTTTCTTGTGGGGCCAGAAATGTGAATTTTTAATGGAAAGTGGACATTCTCCTTAAAAAGCTTGGCAAATGATTTAGAATTAATTTTTCCTCTATTAAGAAAACAACCCAATGCCAAACATACTATATTAGATATTATTGCTGAATCTTCATAGTGACATTTCTTCATTTTGTTGTTTCCTCAGCCAAGACATGCAGTCAAGTTATTGTCAGTTCTTAATCAGATGCCACAAAGACATGGGCCTGATACTTTTTTCAATTTCCCTGGTTGTAGTGCTGCGGTAAGTTTTAAATACATGTTTATATAATTTTAAAGTAAGATCTGTTAAGGAATAACAGCATAGAATTAAGTTCACCATTGTTTTAAATCCACCCATTTTGAAGGTACAGTTTGACGACTTTACATAATGAACAGTCATGACCCAAAAATCCCTGTGCAGTTTTGCTATCCAGTCACATTTCCATAGTGCTGCCCCAGCAGCTTCTCATTGCTTTTTAATTGATACAGTCTTGCCTTTTCTAAGAGTTGATAATGTACTGTGGTCTTTCAGTGTGAAGGCTGTTAAGGCTGCTTTTGCACACCAGAACGGTTTGAGGGCATTGCCGTTGTACTTGTGCCCTGTTGTCTTCTTTTTTCTCAGATCAGTATTTCATTTTAGGGAAATATCACAGGTTAACATTCACTGCTTGCTGTGCTTTGGGACTCCCATATTTGGTGGTTATGATAAATTGCTGGGAACATTGATTGTTGCTCCCCCGTTGCCACTGAATGCTGTGGCTCGTAGAGACCTTGTCAGATTGAGCAAAGGCGCCCTAGCGAGTGTGAGAGGTAGAGGCTTATAGGAGCAGACAGCCTTGGCTTGTGGAGAAGAGCTGGCTCAATGCTTCGTGCCCTGCACCACCAGGACTTTTTATTGTTATCAGCATATTGGAATTTGTTTTACCTTTTGTCATGTTTATTAAGATACAATATTCTGAACATTTGAGTGGAGTTCTTGTTGGAGTGTGTGATAAAGTTTCCTTATTTCTTTAGTAAATAAGTGTGAGACTGCTCACTTTTGTGTTAAGTGTAAATGTATGTAACTTTATGAGAATTTGCATGATTCTTCCCAAAGTGGATTCCCATTAGCTGTGTGTGAGCGTCCTGGTGATCTGCGTTTCTGACAGTTTTGCTCTGTCTTAAGCCAGCCCTATGAATCGGTGACATTTAAATGCTTATGTAATAGTACTTCATTTTAATTTGCATTTCCCTTAGGGGGAATAATGACATCTAACCAACTATTGATGACATTGGACATTCTTGCTGTGGTTTGTTGTTTATATGGTGGCCACAATTAGTTGGCACTTAGGTCCTCTGCACAGAAACTCAGTGTAGGTCTTTATAAGATGCTTGGTGAATTCCTGGGGGTGAGACTTGGTGAACACACTCTCTTTCCACAGGTCTGGGTTCAGGTAGTTGTAGGTCTTGGAGATGGCGTCAGAGGCACCTTGTGAAGTTGCCTGGGGTAGCAGTGAAGCCCCTGGTTGAGGAATTGTCAGTTCCAGCCAGCAGCAGCAGCTTCCTGGGCATGGGATGGGCGGGGTAGAGGATGCTGGTGCCGCAAGGTGTGGGAATGAGAGGCACCAGCACAGAGCGCAGCCCTCAGTCACGCTACTGGGAACAGTATGGGGCTTCCTGATCTTGTTGCCCAGTTGCCTTGCTGCACAGAAACAATGGAGAGCTTAGTCAGGGTTAGGGATAGGCTCCATGGATGACCATGGCTACCACTCCCAAGCCAGCATGGCCATTATTGTTTCCAGTGGCCTCCAGTGCCTTGAACCTGGTCCACTGGCCGGCCTTTGCTTCTGCATAGATGTGATTTCAACTCCTCATTCTTTGAACCTGGTCCACTGGCTGGCTTTTGCTTCTGCATAGATGTGATTTCAACTCGTCATCCTTGAGGGATGTCCCCAGGAAGAAGTCACTGACTTCAGACTTCTTGATGGGCAGCGAGAAGAGATACATCTCCTCCACGAACTTGACCTTCATGTCTTTGACCAGGTGGGCCAGCTTGGTGACAGGGAGCCACTCTTTGTCCTCAGTTTTGCTCTCAATCTCTACACCCTCTCAAGGACTCGTCCACAGCCAAGATCCTGGCCCCAATGGCTGCTGTAGCATCTTTGGAAGCCGCCACAGGCTCCCATCCCAGGCCCTCTGGGGCCTCACTCTCCTGCACTGGCATCATCAGCCTTGGGGTGTTTGCTCAGAGAAGCTCAGTGGACACTCTAGATTTGCTCTTAAGATGTTTGTGTTCACATTTTCTGTTCATAAAATGTAGAGTGGTTTTTCTTACATGCCTAAGAGTGTGTTATATATTTGTGATGAAATTTCCTTTGCCTAATAGGTATTTTTCAGTTCCCTCCCCCCAACAAGAGATTTGTTATTATATTTTCTTAGTAATGTTTTTTAAGTGGAAATATTTTTAATTTTGATGAAGTTCATTTAAAGTTTTTTTCTCTCATAATGCTGTAGTATTTTTTTTTTT